AAAAAAAAAAACTGAAAAAAAAATTCTAAAAAAAAAAAAAAAAACAGTATTAAAGTCACTGGGCCAGCAGATGCATGGAGGTTAAGGAGGCTGAATCCCATATAGAAGACGACACAATTCCAGTCCTGGACTGGCGACCTGAAAATCATGCCAGGTGTGCGTGCCTAGGTGCCCAAAATCCCGAGAGGAGAATGGAGGAGAGGAGATTGCAGCATGGCCATATTCCCTGGGATGTGATTACTCACTTTCTCCTTCTCTGGTGAGTGCACAAGGCTTACAGCAAACAAACAAAATATTAAAATCACCAGTGCAAGTACCCCTAATACCACCGACCAGACAGTAAATCCTGGGGCTATTTATTTTCTTCTTATTCTGGACAAAGAGCAAATTTGAAGTAGTTTCGTGCTTTATTTTTTGACGGAGTAGCCTTAGAGACTTTTTAAATATACTTGAAATTCATCTTAAGGGAACCCTGGAGAACATCTTGATCTCCCTGCATACAGCTACAACTGATATGAGAAACCGGTATCACCAGGAGTAAAAAAGCAACATCACGTTAAGCTGCCATAGACGAAAGAAAGAATGTATTTCAAGTATGAGCTCTCAGACAGACCCCACAAGCACTGACCTTCCAAACTGCAAAGATTCGTTTGCTTTAGGGCTATTTTATGTATCCTGCTTAGGGTGAGAAACTGAGGGGGGGAGGGGGGGAGGTAATAGGACTCCCAAATACTTCTGGAGAGACTGCTACTATGTGTTTATATCTCCTTGGCAATCAGAACATGTTTCAGACATTCTACCTGTAATTTAATGCTTTAAAAGTACTGGTCTTTCCTTGGGTTTTGTCTAATAGGCTCCAATTTAAACCTTGTTCTAAACTTTTCTGATGATGAGCAAGAAGAATACCAAAATATTCAATTCCTATTATCATTGTGAATTTTTTATTTGCCATAGAGCATGTGTGCTTGCCAGAGAGAGAGAGACAGTGAGAGGAAAAGTCAGAAATCACCATCCAGATGGATAGCCATGCTGCAATCCCTTCTCTTCCATTTGCCTGTTAGGATCTGGGGCATGCACACACACACACATGCCCAGCATAATTATCAAGCCACCGGGTCTGGGACCATAGCTGGCCATGTAGAGAGTCCTGTTCCTTAACCACTACACCATCTGCTGGTCCCTCTTTGTGATTTTAATAACTGATAATATTATATATGTCTAAGAATCTGAATAGACAAATGAACAATGGCTAGACCATATGTGATACTGGAACTCTGATGTATAACCTCTATAGCAAACAGTCTTGGAAACCAAACCATTTTGGAGAAAAAGCCTTAGAATAGTCAGGACTTGGTAAATAACTACCAGCTTCCCT